ACAACATCCTTGTAGTCCTCCTGAGTTGCATGTCCCTTCTCTCAAAGGTCACAAACTCTCCTTCTTTTCCTGAGTTCCAGCAATGCTCTCTGTTTAGCCAGGTCAGTCTTCTTCCCCACTGGCTCATGTTTTGGCACACAGGGACAGCCTGCTCCTGCGCCCTTAGGATTTCCCTCCTGAGGAATGCCCAGCCTTCCTGGACCCCTTTCCCCTCCAGGACTGCCTCCCAAGGGACTCTGTCAACCAGGCTCCTGAACTGGCCAAAGTCTGCCCTCTGAAAGTCCAAGGTGGCAGCTTTGGTGAGCCCCCTCCTTACTTATTCAAGAATGAAAAACTTTATCATTTTGTGATCGCTGTGCCCAAGATGGTCTCCAACCGTCACATCACCCGCAAGACCTTCTCTGTTCACAAACAACAGGTCCAGTGGGCCCCTTCCCTAGCTGGCTCACTCACTACATATCGCTACACACTCAAGTCCAGCTTGCTAAATAAAAACTTTAACATTTCTTTTGAAGAATCCTGCACCCCAAAGTGTTTCTGATTCCTGAAATTCAGCAGGGATCAGGCCCACAAGGTCACTCATACGCCTTTCATTCATTTCCCTGAGATGCGTGTGTGTGCTGGGGAGAGAAGGGGACTTTAGAGTTTTATTTTACCTATACACAGTTGATTATGTTAGACAGCAACGATAATGTCACAGGATTATGTAAAGTCAATGAACCCAAATTAATTTTCAAGCGAAGGCTACGGGTATCAAGCTGAATCCCCCCCGCCCTTGCTGCTAGTCCAGCCCTCAGCGTGCTGGCCCTGGTGCTCTGCTCTGGAGAACGAGGGACATGTAGTCCTCCCCACCACCAGCTCAGTGCAGCCAAGACTGGACCTGCTTCTCCTGACAACCTCGACGAGGAGCTGCTCCTGCACCCTGCAGAACCTCTGACCCACCCCGCATACACTGTGCATTACGCTCGGTGCAGGAAGCAGTTGCTCACTATTTTCTTTTTCTTTGATGTTTTGTTTGTTTTGCATCAGTGGAGCACTACTCTGAACGATGTTTTGATTTTTGTTTCTTTTTTTTTTTTATTTCCCCCCAGGGCTTCAGCAGCACGGCATCCGAAGGCTTCGCAAGCCTTGATGATTTAAGCCTCCCAACCAGCTTGTGGGGTCAGCGTCACCTCCCTGTCGCAGACGGGAAGCAGACAGGCACAGGCAGTAAGTGAGTAACCCAAAGTCATGCGGCTTTCTGCCATTTGTGAGGTGACAGTAACTCAGCTTCTTCCAACAGATCCCTGCCTCTTTCACACTACATTTGCTACAGCTTGTGCAGAGAATGAAGCACAATGAAGCCTACACTAAAGGTCACTTTCAACAGGCAACCTGTTATGACAAGAACAAGAAGTACCCCGCTCCCCAGACCCATCACGTTCAACCTACAACTGAGCATGTTTTAAATGTGCACATAGACATTTAAATCAGACTCCAAATAACCTTTAATTTTAATGGAAGCTGGGTACGCAGAGATCTCAGTAAGGAAATCAACTTCAGCTCCTTTTGTTTTATCTATGTGAATGAATTAATTTATCACTCAAACCTTTGGATATTCATATTTAGGCTCGACTCCTAAATCTATGCCGTGTAATGCAATTAAACTGTCCAGTCCTGCATGCTGCACACCCACACTTCTCATAACAGCTGAACTGGGACCATTACATTATTTTTGACATCTCAGAAAGCTTTTAGGACTTTTAAGCAGATGAGAAGGTGCTAACCCATTTTGAAGTTCCAGTGTTGGATTTCTCCCGCGGAGATACATCCTGTAGACCTGTCTTCCTCCACGACCCTTGTCTGAAGCCTTTTTTTTTGCTGTGTACCAGCTTGCTTTCTCAATGGAGAAGGGATGGGAGGGGAAGAGGAGCAGGGCCCTCAGACCACAGGGGCACTCCCACAAAGGAGGGGAGGGTGTTCAGATAAGGTGCCTATAGCTAAGATGTTGACATCTGACATGGCTCTCCAGGTGATCTTATTTAGTGATGGAGAGGAACAGGTACTTCTGGGCCTGTCTGGGTACGTCACCTCCTCTGCTGCAGGATGAGATAAGTAAGACTTGACAGGTACCTATTTCTCTTCACCGACTATAAAGAAAATCGTGACAACTAGTTCCAGCGCAGGTGTCTATATTGTAGACATCTGTGTTTAGCCACCCAAACCACACCCGAGATGTCCATACCATGACTGAAAGAGAGTGGAATTTCCTGAGCAGCCATTTAGCCTCACTTCAGCCACCTCACTGCCTTAAATTAAGCTGTAGTAGCACTGCCCGCTGACACCTTGGCACACAGGAGACCTGCCCCTAGATGTGCTCTGGCCAGTGAGCAGGGCATGCTTTCCTCTCCAGACTACTGCCAGAGACACACATCAAAGAGGGCTGGGGCAAACCAACAGTTGCCACCCGAACCCGGTGCATGGGACGTGAAGGCCAGCACACTGTGGAGTGGGAACGGGCCTTTTGAGTTAGATGGTCTTTGAATTGTGGCAGGGTTTCAGTCCATGGCAGACCAGGAACGTTAGAGGGAAGAAGACAGCAGGAGCAAGGAGGAACATACCCTTGCCATCTCACTGATTTACACCAAGAGATGCCCACTTGTCTGGGTATTCACATTTCTGGCTTTTCACTTCCCTTGCCATTTCTGCCATTTCCTCAGTAAATGAAAGAGCTGAAGAAAAGGCATAGCGAGCTGAAACATCCTGAAAACGCTGAGCTGCCTTCTAGCACACCAAAGAGAAAGAAAATCTCCACATAGAGATGAAGCTGGCCCTGCCACAGCGCTGTTTGGACCAGACAACATCTGAAGGTCTCTTCACATCTATCTCTTTTGAGTACTCCCACAAATCCCAACAGATTGTTATGGTAGTTAGGCATGGGAATGGGGCTTGGATGAGGAAATGCCTTTGTGGATGCACTGTAAGCACTGGGGATGAGTTGAAAGGAGCTGTGATACAGGCCTCCCTCCTCTTCCAACTCACTCAACAATCTGCTCTTGAGATACCAAAATAAAGAGATATCTAGGCCTCATGCCACTGGAATTTTGTGTTTTCTGTACATATTATACACACACAAATATACTTTTATATATTACATTTTCATACTAGTGGCTCTGCATACTTACGTACAAACTGACTGAACCCACTAAACTCTGGACAGAATTGCTGCTGGTGCCCTGCAAGCTGCAACGGCGCGGCGAGAGCACCCAACTCACCAACTTGCGGATTTCACATTCTAGGTTCTGAATACAGTCCAGTTTCCTCTTGCGGCAGCGCTGAGCTGCAATTCGGTTCTTGCTGCGCCGGCGGACATCGTGGATGAACTCGAGCTGCTCTGAGGTTAGCTTGTGCATCTTTATCATCATCTGGAAATCATTCCTTGGAAGATCTGTGATTTGATCAACAGGAAAAGGAAGTTTCACCTAAAACAAACAAATATAAGACAAGAGCAGTCATATTTTGCTTGCTGAATGCAAGTCGAACAACAGTGAGCGGAAGGACGATTACCTATGCTGCTGCCTCCTAAAGAAACAACACACCAAGTTTTACATTAAGCAAGTTTTTAACACTCCCTTGTGGCACATTGTGGAGGTCCAGTTGGTAAGGATATAATTGTATTGAAATCAGCAATATAGATGAATCCCACGTAAAAATGTCATCTTTCTAAAAAGGTCTAATAACAGATCTCCTTGCATTAAAAGAAGGCTCCGTCCACTAAGAGACTCGGCCTTTTGGAAACAGTAAAGTACCTTGCTGCTATTAATTTCAAACTAGTTTCAAGGAATGGGCTATTACCGCAGCAGGAAATCTGTCTCTGCACAGCCTGCAGGACTGAAAGTCTGATTAGGTGTGAGGTTAAAAATGCAACCTGACAACTCAAGTGGATGAAAAATACCGTATTGCAATTAGGAAAGGTCGCCTAATCAGCATTTCAACTGAGCAGTACACTATATAAGAAAATAGGGTCAGAGGAGTGTGACGTAACATATTCTACCCTGCTAAAATATATGCATTTGGAAATAAACCAATGTGTGCTGACATTCTAGTATTTTTGTAGATCGAAGAGCACTCAAGTCGCATTTCTTGGAAAAAACCCTAAACAGTCTAAAACCTCAGTTACTTGCAGTAAAACATTTTTTCCTTTGGGCCATCCCGTTTTGACTGTAGACCATGCAACAGTAGCTCCAGGTTCTGACTTCAGGAATTCCAACCACCTCTCCAACTCCTACCGATTATGCATGAAAACAAAGCAAAACATAAAGCTTCTGACAGCTTGGAGCAACGAACACACACTGTCTCAAAACCTGGAGAATGGCAGATGTGCTCAAAGACTTCCGATACCTTTTTTCCCCCAAACCTATCAGCTCGCTCAAATCAACGCAAGTACCTCTCCCTACAAACCTCGCTTCACTTCTACCTTGAGACCAACAACATGACTATCAAAAAAATAATGTTCCTTGGTGGACTGCTCTGTTTGGTGGTCAAATAAGAATCAGTTGACAAAGCTGAAGGAGATGACAACAGTAACTCGACTGATCCCTTCTTTTTTTGAGTCATACCCACACTGCCCAAAAGATGGCAGCAAGTATTTACATTTCTGTCCCCATCTGGTACAGTCCAACCTCTCCAACAAGGAGACTATCTTGCAAGCAGGCTACCAAAGAAGATACGACTTAAGTTGCTCTAGCCAAGCAAAAGATATAGGCTGAAAAGGTTCATTTGATGTTTAAAATACGGTTATCACCTTCAAACGATGCACTTCAATTATTTGGCAATAAAGAAAATAACAGCACAGATTAGAAATAGGTTATTTTCATTGGAAAATAACGGAGTTTGTTTATGCAGAACAGCTTGCAGAGGACACAGGTACACAAACATGCAGCGGTGGCCTCTGGCATTGACGGTCACGGATCCTCGCCGGGCACCCGGACCTGCTGATAACCAGCTCCTCGCCTTGTTGATAAGCTTGCGTTTTCTTGCACTCTTCTATCAATTGCTCTGTGCATCTGCAAGCCCGGGCCACGTGAAATTCAGAGCAAACACCTATCGCGTCCTTTCTGACAGTTTCATGCCCTGAACATTGCCCCTCTGCCCCACGTGTCCAGGCACTGCTTCGTAACACACTACTTGACAGGTCAATTTAAACCAGCAAGAAACACCAAACACGGCTGAATCCCCCCAAATTCCTGCTTGTACACACAAAGGCTGACCTTAGGCACGGTGATGTGGACTACCCTGTTTACAGACTCCTAACTAATGACATGAAACCTGTTTGATTTTCCCTCCCTAGCCTTTGGACGGTCAACAGAAACTCAGTGTCACCTGCTTTTCTCTCAAGCTTCAACCAGGGTCTGAAAACGAAAACTGCCTGTGCTTTCCTCTGAAAGACACCACAGTTTCATGGCAAAAATAGTCCTTTCATGTTCCTAGTTTTTCCTTCTTTTCTTAAGTCCAAAGCGGAAAGCGATGTTAACTTTATTTCGCCCTCCCTCTCCCTTTCAAAACATATTTACTTGCAAAGAGGAGATGTGCTTGCAGCTGGAATGGGAATGAAAGGGAAACAACTTAAATCTGTCAGGTACAAGTTGCTGAAGAGAAATGGGAAAATAAATAGAAATAGATTCATAAAAAAAATAACAGATTGAAAATAAAACCATCTACACAGCATGCCAGAGACTGCTATCAGTAAACCCAGCATAATCCCACTCCTGTCATAGGCAGCACTGCGCAGGATTAAAAATGTGAAAGGGAGAGTGGAAGTGAGTCAGACTCATTTCCTTCACCATTCACAGCATTTTTATTGCCTGTCTCCCTCTCTGCAATTAGCTGACAACTGAAAAAAAAACCGACCAAGCCTTTGGCACGGACACAGTGAATAACTGTGCTGGGCTACTGCTGCACTGAGAAGCTAATGGTGTTTTACATCGGCACAGGGCAAGACTCTCAGATGGTATTTATCACAACAGAGCGGTAAGTTAATTTGCAAGAGCTGACGACCGTGCCATGGGTGGGATTCATCTGACCCACTTAGAGCTGTCTGAAATGACGGTTGGGACTGCCTAGTGTCCAGGTCCCTGCTGTTGGCACGGGGGACAGAGAGGCCTTCGGATGGCAACACATTCCTGCATGGCTTCTCCCTCCTCCAGGCTGCTGAAGGAGCGGAGACGAGACTTAGAAAAGATGTAGCATCTTACAGCATCTAAGGCAGGTGAGAGAAACCTTACCTGGAGAGAAACCTTACCTGAAGTCTCTGACAAAGGACAGCCAGTCTTTCCCAAGATATGTAAGGAAAACCCAGCATGTATGTTTTCTTGTAAACTTTAATAACTATGAATTTTATACAGGAGATGACTGTGTACTCTTTGGTTTGGACTATCAAATGAGAAATGTAAGCGGGATCCCTACTCCTCCCAGGAGTTACTCCAGTCAGAGCTAAGCTCACAGAGCTCTAAAATCTTCTCTACCAGCACAATTACTCTTTC